AATTTCAAATAGTTAATTTGATACTAATATCGATATATTTTTGTCAAATTTTTATGATATCGTCAAACATATATTTTATTCAAAAATAAAAACATCATCGCTTTCTCGAAATCACATAAAGCCATATTATAACATCGACTGAGATAAAGAATAAAATGAAATATTAAAAACACGATTTATCTCGCTGCATTGCACGAGTACGCTTCTAGTATATATATATTGATTTTTGATGATTTATTTATTTAATTATCATATACATAAATATTTATATATATTGATGTAAATAAAAAAATAAAACATTAAATCCAGATTGTATCTGTGCAAATACCTTTTCCTTTTCAAAATAACATAATTGTTAGAAATAATCCCGAATTCCTGATGATAATCAGTATTCTTGTTAATTGACGAATTTGCCCTTGGATAAAGACAGAACATGACTAACCTGTTTCTATGGTCCCTACAGCTTTTAATGGCGACTTTCTTTGACCAAAATCTAAACTTCAAGAAATTACAAAACTGTCCCTTTAACTATTTCAACTTCTACACATACATCACTTTCCAAAGGACCTACAAATCTTCAAATTCAATTACCTCCGTGTAACCATCTTATTGGACCATTCATATTTGCTAATCTTATAACAATTAGATTCAAACCATTTTCTATACTGATCTGGTGGGATCTTATATATTCTCACATAGTATTAGAGTCGATGTATATATTATTTTAGTGATTCGACACTCTTAGACTATCTGTATTCGTGTAGTTCCTTCGCCTGTGTAACACCCTATCGACACTTTGGGACGATTTGTATCTGTCTAGCCTCCGTTGAAGGAGTGTGTTAGAATCACACATCAGCTGGACTTTGACCATTTTTTAAAACCTAAAATATGCTCTTATGAAGAACTAGAATGATACTCGTACAATGCAGCGAGATAAATCTCAACTTTAATGTTTAGTTTTTATTCTGTCTCTATCGATATAATACGATTTTATATGATTTTGGTAAAGCAATAGTGGTTTTATTTTTAAATGAAATATAAGTTTGAAGATACCATAAAAATTTGAAAAAAGAATCGATATTAGTATCAAATTAACTATTTTGTAGTTCTCATTTTTTTAGTGTAACTTCTTTAATTCAGTTTTTTATCATAAGTTAATTTAGATTTAATAACAAAATAATTTATTTTGGTTTAATAATATAATTTTTTATAAAGATAGTAATTAAACATTCGGTTAGAACCCAATGATTTATCTTTATTATATTTTAGATTTTATATATATAAAATGAATGTTTATCCATTATTTGATTGTGTTTATCTGCAGTTAGTTATACGAATTTAAAGATGAAGCTTTAATAAGTTGTAATTAAGCAAAATTACTTGTAGTCTTGAATTTTAGGTAATATGCATCAATAAACAATAATTCATGCATAATAAAATGTTTTTTTAAGAAATTTTGTCAAATATTTTATAATATAGCATAGATAGTTTAATAACGTTTCTTAAATTCTCACAAAGTTGCATAAAAAATAGATTTCAGTCTTGATGTTTTGTAAATATTAATTTTTATTTATTTAAAGAAAATGCAACTAAAATTAAATATTTAGTATAATAGTGATTTTATAGAATTTATAATAGCATATTTATTTTGACCACAAGTGTGGTGCCTGATTGTTTTGAGCTTGGCTACAAAGATCAAAAGTATCAGGAGATCTCAGGTTCAAATCTAATGAGGAATAAAAATCCCCTTGTGGTCACGGAGATTCAAATGTGGTGGCACCGGGCTATTTGCAAAGCAGGTGGTCGTCTTGGGATTAGCCGGCTCACATAGCGGGTTGGATATCCAGGTTAATAAAAAAAAAGTAGCATATTTAATAAAAGGTTTTTATGGAAAAAATATAGTGACTTTTTAAAAATTATTATTGGGTAACTCGTAATTTTAAACGCAACGGAAAATAGAACCTTTGGTACAATAATTTAGAAAACTTTTGGATTACTTGCAAATAGAAGCAAACGTATTTTGTGTGTATGACCCTATAAGTTTACATACTCTCTAGCAGTATCGTTATGTGACATATATCGTAGACATATAATAACTTATAATTTATTTTATATAAATCATCACATTTTTTGGGTTTTCTTTAAAAAACAATAATTCTTATCTTTAATTTTATATGAAATGATGTTGTACGAGTTTTTTATATGTTTTTTTTTTAAATTTTTATTCATATTATTAATGTTGAAATAAATGTGAGCAGCAAAAAGTGGTTCTTTTTAGTCATCACTATTGAGGGTTTTAAAGATGTGATCAAGAATAATCAGAAGGATGGTAGTTGATTGATTTGAGCTTGGCTTCAAAAGTCAAAAATACTAAGAGGTTTCATATTTAAATTCAATGAGGAATAAAAACCCCCTTGTGTCCATGGAGGTTCAAATGCGGTGACTCCGGGCTATCTGCAAAGCAAATGGTCATCGTGAGATTAGTCAGCTCGCATAGCGAATTGGATATCCAGGTTAATAAAAAAAAATATGTGACCAAGAAAACGTTTAAAAATATTTTTTATAAAAGCAACTCCAACATTGACATCTAAAAACTAAAAATAACGAGTTTGTTGACATCTCAACTGTAACCAAACTCTAAGTACACCAAATCTATGTGTCGAGGATTTTGCCGATTGAAGATTTACACATCGTTATTACCGTTCAATTTGAAGACTCGGCAAAAATCACCATATTTTGGCGGTCGGTTGGAGGGATCTGTTTGTTTGTATCTTAATGAAACTCACAACTTATTCGCTCAACTATACATAATTGTCTGATATTGGCTTAGTGATATAGATAGTGACTTATAGGGAAACTTTATACAGAATGTCAAGTTTTTCAAAACCTGCTCATCCCAATTAAAAAACATACTCCTTTCATCCATGAAGAACCCTTCCAAACAAAAAATTTACCAATATATACAGATAGAACAATCTAGACAGACATCTTTATTTATACATGACTTATTAAAAGATCAAACATACAATCCTAAAATATTTAAAAATTATATATATATAGAGAGAGAGAGAGAGAGAGAGAGAGAGAGAGAGAGACTTAGTATCATGTGAGACCAAAAAAATTTCGTGAGACATGTAAGACCAATTCTCAACATTTGGATTAGATATACAATATGACAATCTGAACATTCATAAATGCCATGAGACTTCTCAATAATCACAAAATTGTCATCGTACAACTCTAGACCATTAGATCACTAGACTATTAGATCACTAGTTTATAAAGTTGATAAATGAATATAAATCAGTCTTACAGGTCTCACAAAAAAACTTTGGTCTCAAGTGAATTCAAAGGTCTCACGGAAAATCTTTGGTCTCAAGTGAATTCAACCCTATATATACATATGTATATAAAATCTACACTTGGCAACCAAATTTTATGAAACGACGGTCAAATTAATTGCAAAAAAGTTAGTATTTTTAAACGAGTCAATATTCCGATCACCATGAAGACCAAAGGAAATGTCAACATTCATATATAAATTATTAAAGCAAAACAGATGGACAAGAAACACCCAATTTAATGGCACCAAACGGTGGTGGAGGATGACGACAACAACAATGGCGGAGCAAGAAAGAAACATCACCAGTTTCCATCTTTCCATCCTTGTACTCTATGCATTGATAACTTGTACAACCGCCGCAGACACCATCGCCGCCGACCAAACCATTAAAGGCAACGAAACCATTCTTTCACCTCAACAGACCTTCGAACTTGGTTTCTTTAGCCCGGAAAACTCCACAAACCGGTACGTCGGAATCTGGTACAAGAAAATATCTCCGGGAACCGTCATGTGGGTGGCCAACCGGAACTCACCACTCTCCAATAACTCCGGCGAACTGTCTCTCACTCTCCAAGGAATCCTGGTCCTCCGTAACTCCACCGGCGACGTCATTTGGTCGTCGGCAAATTCGTCATCGTCACTACCATCGGTCAGGAACCCGGTGGCTCAGCTTTTAGATACCGGAAACTTCATCATCCGGGAGGAAAATGGTAGCCCGGAAAATCCCATTTGGCAAAGTTTTGATTTTCCGTCGGACACTTTTGTTCCCGGAATGAAGTTCGGAAAAGATTTGGTTACAGGGTTAGAAAGGTATTTTACTTCATGGAAGAGTGAAAATGATCCTTCAATTGGTGATCATTCTGTATGGATTGAGACAAAAGGGTACCCACAATTGATCGTCCGAGATGGCCGGAAAATCAGATTCCGGGCAGGTCCATGGAACGGACTCCGGTTCAGCGGCGAGCCGAATTTGAGGCCAAATTCGATTTATCGATTCGGGTTTGTTCTTGATCAAAGAGAAATGTATTACCATTTTGATCTTATAAATAGTTCAGTAGTCACAAGGGTTGTACTGAAGCCAAGTGGTAGTTTAGAACGGTTGTTATGGATCGAAAACCGGCGAGAATGGTTGTTATATTTGACTCCACAGACCGATAGTTGTGACCGATACGGGCTCTGTGGACCGTTCGGGAGTTGTGATATTAACAACTCGCTGTCTTGTGAGTGTTTGGAGGGGTTCGAACCGGCATCACCAGACCAATGGAATGTGGCGGATTGGACTCAAGGGTGTCGGCGTTCGACCCCTTTGGATTGTGGATCAGGGGACGGGTTTAGGAAGTATTCGAATTTAAAGTTGCCGGATACGCAGGAGTCGTGGTTTAATCAGAGCATGAATCTTGACGAATGCAAGATGGTTTGTGAGAAGAATTGTAATTGTAGTGCGTATACAACACAGAATATAACAGGATCAGGAAGCGGATGCTTGCTTTGGTTCGGTAACTTGATTGATATCAGAACGTTTATGGAAAACGGGCAGTATCTTTATATAAGAATGCCGGCATCAGAATTAGGTAAACAGCTAAAATGACATCCTGACAAGTGCTTTTTGAATCTATGACCTTCTGACACGATTTTAAGTCTTCTAAACTTGTCCGAAGGTCAGTTAAACGAAGGACCCTTCTAGACCCAATTGATTCATTTGGTTTGTTATCATTAGGAATTTGATTTATTTGTGTTGGAGTCCCAGATTGGCAGGACTTGGACCATTTACCTGTATATATGTTGGAAAGTGATATGACCATATGAGGTTCCACGTATGGTACTAGAGTCAAAGTCTACCACTATAGGGAATCGACACTTTGGCTAACCGCCTCTCGACACCCCGAGACAATTTGGTTCCACATATTCTCACATGATATTAGAATCATCTGGCTAACCACCTCTCGACACCTTAGGACAATTTGGTTCCACATATCCTCACATGTTATCAGAGCTAAGGTTTGTCTCTCTAGGGACTCGACACTCTAGCTAACTCTCTCTCAACACCCTTGGACAATTTGTGTCCATCCAGCCTCCATTGGAGGGGGCGTGTTGGAGTTTGCATCGACTAGACTTGGACCATTTCCCCTATATATATATGTTGGATCCTCCCCTTTCTCCTCCAGGGCTCTTTTGAAGAGTGATATGGGGTATCCACGTTCTCATATGGTATTAGAGCCAAGGTATGCCACTCTAGGACTTGTCACTCTGGCTAACCCCCTCGAAACACCCTGGGATAATTTGTGTCCATCTAGCATCTGTTGGAGGGGGCATGTTGGAGTTCCACATCGGCCAAACTTGGACCATTTCTCCGTATATATATTGGAACCTCCCATTTCTCCTAAGGGCTCTTTTGTAGAGTGAAATGGGACTTCCACATCTTACAACTTAAACTCAACCACAATCCACCATTTGAGAATACTCGATTCTCATCATGCCACCTCAAA